CTCCTCTGCCGTCTTTAATGAGCTCTACTAAATCAGCCGGGCTCTGTTTCCCTCTGGCAGCCTTACTGAAGCTAGAGCATCCAACTGGCTGGCTGCAGTTCGTTGGGGAGCTGCTCAAACCGCTGGTAACGTTCAGCTTTCTGTAGTCAGCACCCAGCTAAGGCAAATGCTGGGGAAGGTCTCGCCCCAGTCTCTTTCCGAAACAGCCCTTCTGTGCCCCAGCCTGGCTGCGGTCCAGCACTCACGGGAAAGCAAGGCCTGGGATGCAGTCCTCCACCAGTTTCCATCTGGAGAAGCACGTCCATCTCCTGTTGTTACCCAGCAGAGCCTGCTCCCTTCTGGTAGCCCAGCCTCAGTCATTAATCCAGACGAAACAGTGATCCCTCATGTAAGCACCTGCTTGGTGGGTGGTTTCAGTGAAGATCTTAAATACCAGTCTTCGGCCAATAGGGGTGGAGGGGCAGAGGAGGGGAAAGGCAAACCTATAGATTACTATCAGCTTCACTTTTCCCCTTTTTCTTCCTCCTTTGTGAACTGAAAGTTGTTTCGAGAGAGTAGAAACGTTGAGACAGAGGAAATCTGGGATGTATATTAAAGCTGCTCTGAAAGAAAGACGTTCATGATGTGTGCTGGGCATACTTTTTAGTTTTCCTGTTGACCAAAAGTTTATTGATGGTTTTATTATATGCTACTGAAAAGATGATTCTTATCTATGGATTATAAGGTGCAAGAAATTGTGTTAAAATATAACATGTAAATGCAAATTCAGATTAACTTGTTTTAAAATTAAAAAAGCTGAGACCAGCTGCAGCCCAGAGATTTGGAGACAGCAATGTATGAGATTAGTAGAGTTGTCTCAGAATGAAGTTTTTAATAATTTTAAGAAGCTCAGAACTTTTTATTGTAGGGTAGTCCAACACTGTGTCTCCCCTTCCCCTTATAGACTCTTGTAGCACTTCTTGTTAAGATAATTTCAATATGCTTTTAATAACCTTTTCCAACATTACTGAATGATGTTCTCCGATTTTAGCTGTGTTTCAACATACTGTTTGTTGTGCTTTTTTTTTCTGGTAGCCTGAACTGAAAAGCAAAGAAAGAATAAACCCAAATCCTGCCAAAACATGTACAAATTAAATAGGCAAAGATACATTCACTTTGAGTGTAAGGGTGTCCATTAAATGATGTAAGCATAAAGCAGAGAAGAGTAACAGAGAGGTAAAAATAGCCATATACTTATTTTTAATCTCTGTCTAATTTTGGTAGAATTGAATAAAACCTGCTTGAGAACAGGTGACTCATTTAGAGTTGGTGAAAATTACAAAGTCCTGGTAAGGATTATCTCAAATTAATGCCAGACTTTGATCATTACTGTTTGCTTTTCTAGTTTACATTCTCTATGGTGCATCACATGTTGCTAGTTTTAACTTTTCACTTTCAGCTGATACTGTTGGTAAGAGTGAGGGAACTATTTTGAAAATGTCAGTTAAGTGATTTGAGGAAAAAAAATCCCACATAATTTGTGTTTCAATGGAATAATAAAATTGTGGAAAAATTTCCTGTATGTATCCACTGAAGATTTCACATGGTTATTTTAAAATGTATAACGATTCATAGTGGTAATTAAAGAAATACATTTCATCAATATAAATTTTCCTCTCAAAAGCCACTCCGGTACTGTATTTTTGGTAAACATACCTACAATGGTAAGCAAATGGTCCATATGTTTGCTATTCTTTGAAATGACTCTATTTACAATGGTAAATATTAACTAATTCCAGTGAAAGGAGTTTGCTATTGTAAAAATAAGTTCCAGAGATTTAGGCTAGGGATTGAAATTAACTTGTGTGATAGTAACAGAATTCAGTTATTACAGATCTTCATTCTTCAAATGAATATTCTTTTTGGAAGAGGCTTATAAAAATAAGCCAGAATAGCAATACAGTAATCACTAATATTGGTGAATATACTCTTAATATGAATTTTAAATTCTGCTTTAAAATTTGATTTTGACTTGTCTGTTCCCTTGCCATAAACTTCCAAATGGTCGAAGACCAGAGCTTCAGATTGTCTTGGTTCTCAGTACTGTAGACATTTTTTTTTTTTGTCGATGTTCCATAGTAGCGAAGGAAAAGTATTCTTTATTTTCTGTAAGTTAAACTTAACATTATGAGTTGATCTTTGAGATAGTTTGTTTGGCTGTATAGGGAGGTATAGACTGATACTGACACAACAGGCTCTTTAAGTGTTCATTTATAGGAGAATTCTAGCTATGTGTGTCTGTGTGGACCCATCTGGGATTTGTCTTTCCTGTCAAAGTAATCTCAGTCTTTGAATCGATGGGCTGAGGTCAGTTGTATGAGGTTTAACAAGGCCAAGTGCCATGTCCTGCACTTGTGTCATGACAACCCCATGCAGCGCTACAGGCTTGGGGAGGAGCGACTGGAAAGCTGCCAGGCAGAAAAGGACCTGGGGGTGTTGATTGACAGTGACTGAACACGAGCCAGCAGTGTGCCCAGGTGGGCAAGAAGGCCAACAGCATCCCGGCTTGTATCAGAAATAGTGTGACCAGCAGGAGCAGGGAAGTGATCCTTCCCTGTACTCAGCACTGGTGAGGCCGCGCCTCGAATCCTGTGTTCGGTTTTGGGTCCCTCGGTACAATAAGGACATTGAGGTGCTGGAGCGTGTCCAGAGAAGAGCAATGAAACTGATGAGGAGTCTGCAGATCAGGCCTTATTAGGAGCAGCTGAGGGAGCTGGGGTTGTTTAGCCTGAAGAAGAGGAGGCTTGAGGGGAAACCTTATCACCCTCTACAACTACCTGAAAGGAGATTGTAGAGAGGTGAGTGTTGGTCTCCTCTCCCAAGTAACAAGCGATAGGACAGGAGGAAATGGCCTCAAGTTGTGCCGGGGGAAGTTTAGATAGGATATTAGGAGGGATTTCTTTACTGAAGAGTGGGAAGTGTCCAGGGAAGTAGTGAAGTCACCATCCCTGGAGGTGTTCAAAACATGTGTAGATGTGGCACTTGGGGACGTGGTTTAGTGAGCATGGTGATGTTGGATTGACGGTTGGACTTCATGATCTTAGAGGTCCTTTCCAAGCTGAATGATTCTATGATTCAATACTCCACGCTTTCTTTTAAGTTTAGGAGATCAGCTGGCATGAAGGACTGTCAACATTGTAGCGCTGAGAGAGTTTCTTCACTCAAGACTGGGGGAGAGCAGGAGGGATGGTCCCTTCTTTACTGGCTTTGCTGGAGAATACATTGCTGCTTTTCCCTATTCAGATTTATATTGTGCAAAGCAGCCACTACTTCATACACTTAGTGAGAGTACTAAGCGAAACCAAGTTTATCACCATCTGAGTTCCTGTTTCAGCATCCTTCTGAGTGCAGTAAGAAAAAAAGCATTGCAGCCTGCCTTGAAGAGAAGTACATTTACACCATTAGTCAAGCAAGGAGGGAATGAATTTCAGAATCTCAACACTTAACAGATACCTCATTAATATCAATTCAGTTTTATTGTTATTCAGTCTGGAATAGGAACAGATATGTGCTCATGGATATACTACCACCAGAGTAGTATATACTACTACTCTGCATGCAGTCACACACCACACATGCAGAGAGAGAAAGAAGACGGATTCATTAGAGCATTTATGTTTCTCATGATCTTAAAAAGTGCAGGTTGGTAACAGTTTCGTAGTACTCTGAAATATATTCTGTTACCTGAAAATGAGAGGTAGACTTGAATGGAGTCAAGGTAAAAACATCATTAGTACAGAGTTAGCACTGTGGCATCTCATGTCTCTCGTTTTCAAGTTTTGCAAAACTTAAATTTCTGAAAAAATGATGCACTGAAGCATTTGGGTACATATTTGCATACCTTTAGTTGCATACCTTTACTAATGATGTATTGGAGCTGGAAACAGCCAGTGGGAACCACCTGAGGCTGGGTGCAGGTACCTCAGTATCAAATAGTAGTCCTGAGGCCTGTGGAGGAGATAATCTCTATATTTTTCCCATAGAGAGCGTGGATATGCCAGGATTGCCTCATGTAAGCAGTGTTTGAATCCGTAGGGGTGCAGATGAAGATTAGGTCTCTTTTCCTAGCCTTTTATTGGGGCTCCATGGAGGCTTGCAGCTCCTGGAAACTTGCCTCACTCCTGTTGCTTGTCACTCTCTGCCTTCTCTCTTCTGACCCACATTCTGTGAAGTGATAGTGCGGTGATTCAGATATCTAGAATCTTCTCCCCTGGATTACACGGGGAAAGGTTGGGTGGGAGAAGATGGACCTCCTTTGAAGAAACAGAGCTCACTCTGCATACTAATTAGACCCATCTTCTCCTCCTACCCCCAAAACCACTTACTTCCTTCCTCTTGTATTTCTTGTTTCCCTGTTTGGGTGCCACCTGTTCCTCTGTTGCTTGCTACAGAACGTTGTCTTTTGTCTGGGCCCTTCACCTCCATTGTGCATTTATCCTACCGTTATTGTACTCTGCCCCTCAGGCTGCTCTTCTGGTAAGTGGCCACCTATATAATTTACTTTATTCAAAAGTGAAAAAAGCAGAGTTGCTTCAGAATTTTTCTGCTTACTAATGAAAAATGTAACTTAATTATTTGAGGAAAATAAACACCAGTGTCTTCATGAGACTCATCAGATCTGAGGCAATTAAAGGAGAAGGTAGAACATTTGCTTGGCCTTCACCATTGAAGCAGAACTGGCCAGCTGCTGTGTCGTCAGGTGGTGCAGAGGTTGGAGGCTTATGTGGTACTTGTTGCAGACAACTGTGGTATCAGTTTATTGTATTTATGGTAGTCATTGTATGAGCTTCTTGTTCTGTGTTTCTGCTGCTGTGATACACATACACTGACAAGTTTTATTGGGCTGTTTTGTAGTGCTCTGTCCTCAAAAGTTAGCAAGAGGGTGACAGCTATATTGCCAGTAGCCAGTAATTAAAAACCAGTTGTTTTCTGTTCCAGGCCATTGATGAGCCTCCCTATCTCACAGTGGGCACTGATGTGAGTGCGAAGTACAGAGGAGCCTTCTGTGAAGCCAAGATCAAGACGGCAAAAAGACTTGTCAAAGTCAAGGTATGTGGTTTTCCTGCAAACACTTTTTTTTGGGGGGGAAACAATTCATCAGTGTTCAAAATAGCACAACATGAAACTTCTTTATAGTCTCAAGACAGCTAAGAGGCTGTCCTTTCCTTGGAGGCTGGCAGTGCAGTCTTTGAAATAAAAGTAAGCTTATTTCTCTTGGGAGTGGTTCCCCTCACTCCCATGCAATTAGATTTGTTTTGTTTCTTTCACTGCTTTGTTATCTGCTTGCATCCAGTATTTGTGGCCTCCGATGCCACAAATCTTAAAGCATTTGATGAAATTTTTGGCAAATGTAGGCTTACGTTTTGAAGAATGTTACCAGAAAATTGCTGGAACTCCTCAAAATAGGTTTATTATGGTTTCTTTTAGTTCAGGAGCACAGGTCACTGCCATTTAGGAGTGGCAGCTAGGTAATTCTTCAGGAATAAGATGAAACCCTGCTGTATTCCAACAAAGACTTGGCATTTGGAGTCCTATAGAAGAACAAGCAGGGAATTTCACCTAATCTTTATGGTGACTAGTTAATGACTGAATGAATCAATAAAAGCCACGTGCAGTGCAAATAAAAATTGTGGAGAGGGAATACAATAAATAAATTTTAACATCCTTTGGAAATTTAAGGTATCATTTTTAGAAATAAAGAGAACAATGTTAGGGCTTGTTTTTATTATATAGTAAATCTACACTGCAAAATGGCTTTATATTTCTTTTTGGATAATGTTGCCCTAAAAGCTCCTAATGTGGAAGCTGGTACTTTTTTTCTGCTCTGCCTCTTAACCTCATACAAAAACAGAGCAAGGATCAAAAGCACTTAGAAAAAATAAATCAAGGTGTTGCTCTGCAACAGAGTTATAGTGGCAGAATATTTTTCTTATATCTACTGTAAATATAAGTGAAAATGTGTGAATTGTGAGTGGCAATAGCCTGTTCCAGAAGAGCCTCCATTCTAAACTGTCATTCATTGCTTAAGTCTGCCCTCGTGCTGTGGCTGATTTTTGCCTGTAGTAAGTATGAGAGAGAGAGCAGGCTATCTCCAAAAGCCCTGGCGGGAAGGACTATATTAATGAGAAGATGTTAGTCTTAAATCTGACATCTTTAAAAAGCCTTTAGAGCAAATTAGTGGTCTTTTCATTTCATTAGTCATAACTTTTAACAGCATCAGCTAGTTTATGCTTTACAGCATGGTTGAGTTAAGGGACTGAGTATTGGTATTTAAGCTGTTAAATATCAGTATTTAAATACAGGAACTGTGTTGTTCCTAGATCAGTGAAATCTTAACTCCTTTCAGCTCTTCAGAGGGCTTTCAGCCCACCTTCTTACGGCCACTTGCACTTGTTTGTTTTTCATTGAAATCCTTTTCATTAAATCCTTTCTTATGAGTTTGTTACTTGCAGTTTGATCACTGCAATGTTTTGCAGAAAGATCTTGAAATGACATGGAATGCAATTGTTATTGTAAGTTGTCTGTGGGGGCTGTGCCTGAAGGCCTGTGGATTTAAGTCTGTGTGTGTGTCTTCACTGTTAACTGTGTAGCTTAGGACACTCTGTAGTTTAGGACCGTTAAGGCCCAGTACTGTTGTTGTTGCTTTACAGAGGAATGTGATTGGTGGTTGAGGGTCGGGGTTTTTTTGTCTGACTGCAGTAACAATATCTGTTTACATTGTCTTTCTTCCACCAGGAAGGTATATTTCTTAGACTTAACAGTCACCTCACGATTTTCTCTAAAAATCTTTGCAACTCTGTCATATGCAGACTTTTTCCAGCATATCTCTAACCAAGATTCTTATTGTCAGGTCTACTTTGTCTGAAATATTGGTAGTTTATCTGCAGCATTTGTTTTCCACTTGTTCAACAGTTTCTTCTGGCCCAAATGTACTTTATGCCTTGGTTTCTTGGAACTATTAGAGAAAAAGGAAAGTCAGTGAACTTTATGACATCAATTTTAGTTTGAAGCTTTCGTTTAAGTTTTATAACTAGATGCTCTGTTGAGAAAGGAGCATGGCAACATTTTATTTATTTTTTTTTTCAATACAGAAGATTTCATCTTCAGGCAAGTAAAATACATTTAGTTCCATCTCCTTTTACCTGCTTTCTTCTGTTGAATTCTACTTCCTTGAATATTTTGAGGGATACCTTCATAATAATTTTTTCATCACCAGTATAATTTAATAACTATGTATCTGTCATTTCATTATCAGTAGGTACTGTATGTTACAGTTTAGCAGTCTTTGACAGGTTCTGTACATGGTACAGAATTTTACATTAACAATGTAACTTTGTCATGGAAAGCAGTAAAACTTGAGATTTGCCTGGACTTGCGAGAGGTGTTGAAGGCAGTACAAATTTGACTAAAGGGCAAGACTTTCTGTGATAGAAGGGTGTTACTCCACTTCATAGGATCTGTTAAAGCTTTTCTTAAGAGAGCTATTTAAGCCAGTTTATTTTGACAATGTCTCCTAAAACAATTAGCACCATCATCCACACTCACTGGTATTTGGGCACCCTTCACAGAAGTTTCAGAAGAAACTGTTTCTTGTGTATGTCTTTATTAAACAGAAACTAGTGAAGCACTTGCTGTATGGAGCCTACCAGGGCTGTCTTTTCAGGATGGTGAAGAAAAGGGAAATTGCAACTGAATCTAAACAGGCTGCTGGTGTGCTGAATCTCTTAATCTTTTGTCTGAGACAGAAAGGATCCACACTGACAGATACTGTGGAAATTAAAACCCACACTGACAGATACTGACATCACTTTTCTTAGCTTCAAGACAGGCTGGTGGTGTCACACTGAGTTTGGAGTTTGAATATTTCTGTTAATAAGCAGCATATTTTCGAGCATGTATGTATATCTCAAGAAACAAAAACTGTTGGTATCAAAAATCTCCCCAGAAAGAGTCAAAGCCCCAGGGCATCTTTAAAAAGAAAAGCATTCTGGAATACACAATAGCAATTTGCTTTGTTTACCTTTCAGGGTAGTACATTGTGGCTGGCTCATGGTTTTGGATAGATTTCCTTTTTGCTGTAAAATACATTTAAGGCAATTACAGAAAGTAAAGAAAAACAGATGTCTCTAAATCAAAATTGATATACTGGTTATTTCATATGCGCCAGTAGTGACCACAGATTTCGGATTACTTTGCATCTGAACTGAACTTTTGATTTCTAGATAAATCCCCTAAAAGAAAGGAATAATACCTATATCTGTCAGGCTGAAGTTAAGGAGAATAATCTTTGCTGAGTTAATTCCTAGCCTGAATCCTTTGTCTGGCTTTCAGTTACTAAGTATGATTTTGTCTGTCTGGTGGACAGAGTATTTGCCATCAATAGGTGGGTTGATGCAGCTCTAAAAAGAACATACTTTCCCAGCAATACATCTGAAGGTTCTACCAGAAGATGACTATTTCATGAAGTAGCACCTGGAAGGCAGTAGAGCATTTTAGTGCATTTGTTTTCTAATCAGACAAAGTAGGCTTTTCTTAGTCCTACTGTAGGTGCTGTTGTCAGTTGTTTGCTCCTTTCAAGGTTTACAAAACTCCTTGAACTTTCCTCCTGAGGAGACTAAGGAGGAGAACTGGTGTTAGAGAATACTGTTGTTCTGAAGGAAATTCTGCTGTTGCTGCATGCTACAGAGAAAACAGTAGTAAAAATATAACCTTGGGTACATTTGTGAACCAGGTCCTCAGATTTAATGCAGTATTGCTGTAGTCAAGCATTACTGTTACATGGCTGAATCTCATGTTGCATTCTTACTTATTGTGAATACTAAATAAAACATTATATACTTGCAAGTGAGTATGTTCTCGTGAACATTAGAACATCACTTGTGTGTGCGTTAATAAAATCTACATATGTACATAAAATGTAATGCCAGAATTTTCTCTGTTTCCCTGAATTTTAAAACCAGAGTGGAAATGAAACTTAAGGTGTAATTGATAGGAGGATCCTGTGGCGTTCCTTGTGACCAAGTTAATTTTGAGTGAAATGAATGGTGAATATCTGTAGCATCTGATATAGGTAATTTAATCATAAGTTTGAATTTCCAGACCAGTTTTTTTTTCTGAGGACAGTGTGTGTAGTATTAAAGACACAGCCAATGACATGGTGAAATGCTTTGGAAGTACTTAGGGGATTTACTTATTCCAGTTTTGAAAGACTGAAAAGTTAGCCGTCTGTACATTTACTTCTCATTAACTGGCAGCATGTAGGCTAGTAGGCTGACATTAACTGAAAGGCTATTTGGGATGTTCATTTTGTTCAGTTGACAGCAGCGTTCTGTACTTTTTTGTTTGAGTCTTTCAACTCACCTGAGTGAGGGAAATGCATTTTAGTAAGCAAAAGCAAAAAAACCCGCATGATATGAGCTTACATATAGGTGCTAAAACTGTTTGATTTCAGAGCATTGAAGAATATAAATGTTTCTTAAAAATTATTTATGCTCAGAATTCTTCAAACTTTCTCTTTTATTGGTATGGTACTAGAGCAGTACAATTCAAATCATTAAGAGAACTGTAGAGATCTTTTTGAGCCATTAAATATTGTTGGTAAATAGTTTGTCATTTCTTTTAGAGGTAATGGTTCTATTCTGAAAGATTAAAAAAAATTCAGAAATTTTGATGACTAAGAAGTCTCCTTGTATTTCTAAAATACCTGAATGAAACTAAGTTTTTAGCAAATGGAATGATTATGGTGACTAACTGTAAAGTGAGAGTAAGAGAAGAGCTATTGATGTCTGCATGTGCTTATGCTGCTCAATTGTATCAAGTGATTGTCAGTCGAATTATATTTTTTAGGTAACTTTCAGACATGATTCTTCAACAGTGGAAGTGCAGGATGACCACATAAAGGGTCCCTTAAAGGTAATGACTTCGTTTTAAATTTTGCTAGCACTTTGAAAAGTGTTCTTTTTCAGTATTTGACATAAACGTGTATATACAGTATGGGATGGAAGTGGAAGGTTCCGTTTATTATGCAGGCCAGATAGGATCACGAAGCATAAAAGGTAATGCTGCGAGGCTAGAGTTACTATATTCTTCATGTTGACTTTTTCCTTTTGTAGTTAAAGGGGATGCAACGTACAGGCTGATGCAAGCCCCCTTGTTCTTTTTGGCCTTAAAGCTAAGAAGTTTGGCTGACACTGATTTGTAGTCACTGTTGCTTTGGAAAACTCAGCTGGAGGATTTGATGGGCAAGCTCTTATACAAGAGAATGACATCACTCAAATTGGTTCTTGTTCCCCACCTGCTGGCAAGAAATAATTAGCTCAGCTAGTTGGCTTATTTCAGCGGAATGAAAGAAGTAAGTTTTGAGGGATACAAATATATTCAAGTGAAACTGGAAAAGTATAGTATATTTAACATAAAAATAGATTAGAAATTAACTCTGTTTGCTAAACGCAAAAGTATTAACTTCATTGCCTGTTTTAGAAGCCCTCCAGCGCTAAGTGGCTTTTGTATTTTAGGTAGGAACTGTTGTGGAAGTGAAGAATCCAGATGGAACATACCAGGAAGCAGTTATCAACAAGTTAACAGATGCAAGTTGGTACACTGTAGGTAAGAGAAATCATTATGTATTTGAATAAAGCACTTGACTTAAAAATAAGCCTGTGACCTGGATTTGTCTTAAGCATGGTGAGAGAGACTTTTTTGGAAGTGCTTAGATATTCAAAGTTTATATTAAATAACTCTTGACACTAAACTTCTTATTTTGGGTTTTTATGAGAAACTGTACCTTTCAAAATAAATTGGGACCCCAAAAAAGGCCTAGGGATTTGCTTTATAACCGGTAACTCCTTCTTAGAAATTTAATATACTGTTATTAAATATTCTGAAGCAAAGTATGCTGTCATGCTTCCTTAAAAAAGGAAAAGAAGTGCTTTTAAAACACAAGTTGCAGTACTTATTTTTCCCTAATCTCAGACTTAGCCCTGGTAACAGCTGCTGTAAAAACAGACATAGCTTATTAAAAAAAAAAAAATCAACTCAACTCTTTTGCTGTTTGTTTGCTCTGTTTTCTAATATGACTTTTCAGATGTCAGACGATATATCCACATGCCCACAAGTGAAAATAGAGCTTTTTTTTTTTCTTTCAATATTTTTTTAAGTCTTTATATACATCGATTTACTCTGGTGCTAGGTACTAGTAGGTCAGTCTATCCTGGGGAAAACTGCTCAGCTGTAGAATGATAACATATATTCCATCTGTGCACTCATAGTTTTAAAGGTACTACAGGAAACATTCTTATTCTTGAGAAACTACATATTCCTTTCCTTAGCAAATAACTGGGACGTGGGAAGATGAAGGCCAGGTCTTGAAAGAACATTAGTTGTGTTGAGAGATTAAGGGTTGTTATGGATGAAGTGATGCTGAACAACTAGAGAAGGACTAACTTTTCCTAGTCATATTCCTTTTAGAGAGGAATAGAACTGTAAGTTTAGGTAAGGTCTTCCAGATAAGTGTTGCAGAAAAGATATCTGTTTTCTTGTTGGAGAAGTAGAATGTACGAGTAAAGGGGAGACAAGGTAAGGATGCGGTAAAACGTGAGGTATAAAGACAAGAATTAACATTATAAATAACGTTTTCATAATTACTATAGACGTGGATTAGATATAAGGGCTTTTAAGAATAAAATGGTATAGCTGTTGTTAGTACTTTGTTGTATGTGTATGTTTATACTTCTGAGAAAGCATGGGGTTATCAGTTCAGC